CGCTTCTTTCGACCTGCATCGCCTCTCGCCGCCTTCCGTTTCCTCGCCCTCCGTGCCTCGACTTTTCTCTAATCGTTCCATTCCTCCTCCTTCTATCTTTCACTTCAATTCCATTTCCGTATTCCTGCTTTGACTCTCTCCGACATTTGTCTGGAATCAAATCTCTATACTTCCCCCTCACCTATTCCACTATTCCACCATCCCAAACCTATCCCACCATCGCCGATTCTTTCCGACTCTTATATCCTCACATCTTCTCATGCCCTGTTTCCTCCCCTTGCCTCTCTCCATTTTATTCTGTCCTCTCTCACTCCATCTATTATATCCGGTCCTCGCCTCTCTCCTCGGCGTTTCCAGCATCACCTCTTCTCTCCACCTGTTTCCTCGTCGTTACCTCTTGGTGGTAGGTAGTAATGTACGTGATCCTCCCCGTCGTCGTTTTGAATATCCTACGCGAATCTCCAGGTTATTCAGAGCAGCTGGTTATTCCATGCGGAAGGAAAAATTATTCAAGCGGCCAGGCGGTTCACTAAGCGTTAAAAATAAGTTCGTTTGAACAGTTGCTTCGCTGGGAATATTTCCATTCTTTCGTATTCCTCCGTGTTACATTTCACGTCGAAATGAAAATTATTCTCTAGAGTTTTCTCCAATGATATTTTTTAATATAATAGTGTTTCTTCATGTGGGAGGTTTCCACTTATTATCGACAATGATATCGAATGCACAACTTATATTTGCAAAAGTCTATCTCCGTTTCATTTTTGTCATTAAAATGTTTAACATCATTTGCGTTCGGAAACCTAACCCTCAATTAGTAAAAACGTACAAGACTATTGAAGATATTTATACATTAGCAGCAACCAATCGGTTTGAATGCATCTCATTGTTTGTAGACAGCGATTAGATAGCACCCTACCCAGAAATGAAAAAGAAATTAGATCCTGCGACAGACACAAACGGACTCGTTTTCTACGCGCTCTTAAAATGAAAAAAAATACTCAAATGTTTCAATAGGATTTAGACAGCAGCATGGCATGAATGCTCGGGGGTACGTGTGTCCCATTGCCTGGAAGCGGGCGGGCGTTACAGTTTCGAACCGGGACGATATTAGCCACACAGTTGCAGCTTATGCTCGTCTCGCCCTGTTTCGCTTTCGGCACCGCCCCCCGCTCTCCTGCGTCTCGCTCGTCTCCCGCAATCGTCCGCATCGCCCTCGTCACCTGCACGCGAGCAACACTCGGGCTGCTCGAAGCGCCATGAGCGGGCTCGCAGTAATTGGCTTCGCTTAGCACCTCTCGGCCGATGTAAATGCGGTCGCGTCCGCACGCCTCGAGCCGGGTGCCTCCCGCCCTCCGAGACGGCTGCTTTATACGCGCGCCCCCTTGCTGCTCCGGCCTGCGCAATAAAGCTCTTATTCGCGCCGAGGTGCTGAGGATGTCACCGCGAACGAGGAGGACGGAGGCGGGCGGCGGCGGAGCTGGGGATGTCAGTATATATGAACGAGAACGGGAGGCGGGAGGTGAGCGCGAGTGAAATTAAGTGCCGGATTTTGCGAACTTTGGCAGGCGAATGGTGGCGGGTGGGGGAGAGGACGGGAAAGATCCTGGAGCAGAGCAGGAGAGAGCGAGTGTGGTATACGCACGGTCGGGTGGGTGAGGGTGGTGCGGTGACGGGATTGGTGGAGAAGGCGAGCGCGGACGCTGCCCGTTGAAGAAGACACGGCATTGGTCGCAGTAGTAGGGGTGGTAATAATGGCGTTGCACGTAATGATAGCCATCAAAATGCGCGCGAGGTTTCGACAGCGACTGGCAGTCCGGAGCGTGTTCCGAAGTAGCGACTGCGGCGGCGTCGAGCGGGCCAGAGAAGGTAGCGGCAGGTGGAAGGGAGGCAGGCGGGCAGGCAGCAACGGGCAGAGTTGGCGGCGTCGGCGGCGGAGTTGAGAGCGCTGGCGGCGGCGGCGGAGATTGTGGTGAGGGCGGCGGTGGCTGCTCGTTAGACGCACAAAGCTGCGTGATTTGCCCGCCGCTCGCTGCCGCTTTAGTTCGCGCGTTTGCCGTCGTCGCCTGCGCCGCACGCGCCCTCCAAAGAGGAAAATGAACTCGTCGCGCAACAGCAGCAGCAGCAGCAGCAGCAGCAGCAGCTACTCCTTAAGCGCTAACTCGCGCCGACCGGGTTACGAGCAATGACATCGCGGCGCACTCAATTTACTCGTAGAATTGCCGTGTTTGCGGTGAGATCACGTGAGCATCAATGCTTTGAGTTGACTAATATCCGTTATGATTTGCATGTTCTCATCTTTTGCATTTTTAAACTTGTGCAGTAATAAATAAAATCATAACACTTTATTAAAACTTAAAGAAAATATTTATTTCGTATATTCTATTTCTTCGGTCTTAGGTTATTTATATGAATTGTAATACTGGTGCATACTAAATCGCATTTTAAAAGTTGTAAAAACTGTGTCTTTAATAATATAGTGATTAATAAACGTAGGGGACTTACAATCATAATTAATTTTACTTGTTTAAAACGGTCAAAATTCTTGGTTATATTGATCTGTTTAAAAGTTTTAAAAAAATAAAAAGACTGCTCAAAATGTGTCGCAGTTTATCTTGCCTCTTTGTGTAGTGAAAATTGGATTAGATATTTTATTATGCTGCTTTATTTAAATTTAATTTCTGTGCATTGTGTCCAAATATGAAAATATTCGTACATTGGAAGCGAAATCATTATTAAAAAGCTGTATCTGAACGTTGAATAAATGGCTTAAAGGGTATTGGCAACCAGTGTAAATTTCACACCCACGGAAAAAGCGTCCGTGCC